AAAAATCATTTAACACCAAACCTATTTAGAATAAAGTGTTAAATATCCCATGTCATTTATTGAATACTGTACTGAAAGTGAAAACCAGAATGGCTGTACAGATGCAGAAGGGTTCTCGGTGTTTCTGTAGTTGACTCTCAGGACTGTGTGGCTGACTGGGACCTACCTGCCCAACATCACAGAGAGGATGGTGCATATCACTAGCCTGGGAAAAGATCACAATTTAAAGCATGGTTTCTACTGAATGCATGTTGATTTGCACCATGATAAAGTCAAAAAAAATTTTTTTTAAGTTGAATCATTGTAGGTCAGGAACCATCTGTACACGTATGATTATTTTAGATAGACATCTACTTTCTAAAATACAATCACGTTCTTGAGAATATACCCAGGTCACTAGCTTGAAATTTTGGCTGTTTCTAAACCATCTAGTCTCACATTTACAGTCTCTTGTTTTACTCCCACAGATGAGCAATAATCCACCGAATGTGAATTTTACTAATTGAACTCTCAAAGAGCAGGCAAGCTGTTTTCCCATCTCTGATTATTTAGGAGAAGGGGACATTGTCTGATGTAGCTTACTGTTGATCTCATGTAGAAATTAAAATGTGTTTAAATCAAGTAATTGAAGATTAATGTGTCCTGAGAAATTTGCGATATCCACTGAGATTATACAATCTATAGAGTAGTTAATCTTTCAAAAAATCATATATGAAAAGCAAGCAAACTGATTTTATAAAATCATCTTTCTTGATTTTATATCTTTTCAGCTGGTATAAGGGCAGGCTACAATTTAGCTGTGTGATTGGAGGAGAAACATGAATAGAGATAGATGGGCTGATGGACAGCCTCCGTGTTCATGCACCTCCATCTGTATGAAAGATTAAAGGAGACCGCAATGTAGCATTTTCTCCCATCTCCTCGTCCTTTGTCCTGTGAGCAGAAAAATTAAGCTTGACAAAAGAAAAGGTGCAACGCTATCAGGGATTAGGATAGCAAATATCATGGATAAACTTCACAGACACTGACGTATGCAGTGAATTAGTATCACCCAATACCTTAAAGTCGCAAAATGCCAGAAATACACACAAAGTATGGTCCCTAGACCAGCAGCATCACATCACCTGGGGACTTGCTAGAAGCGGCGCTCAACCCCAAACCTATGGAATCAGAAATTTAGCAAACTCTCCAGGTGACTCTAATGCCTGCTGGAGCTTCAGAACAACTGATGTACATGGAGCCATGTTATTTAAGGTAGTATCTGTGGTCCCATAGCATTGGCATCGCCTGCATTTGTCAGAACTGCAGAATCTCAGGGCCCATCCAGACTTAACTGAATTACGAAAAGGTCTTCAGGGGACTTGCACGCACATTAAAGTTGGAGACGGGCTGTCCTTCTCCACTGGCTCCTGTTATGTACTGAATTGTGTCCCCCTTCCCAAATTCATATGTTCAAGTCCTAACCCCTAGTACCTCGGAGTGTCACAGTATTTGGAGACAGTGTCTTTAAAGACTAGGCCATACGGGTGGGTCCTAATCCAATAGGACTGGTGTCCTTCAGGAAATTAGGACACAGACGTGCACAGAGGAAAGGCCACATGAGAACACAGGGAGAAGGCGGACAGCAACAAGCAAAGGGGAGAGGCCTCAGGAGAAGCCAGACCTGCTGACACCTTGATCTTCGCCTTCTAACCTCCACAACTATGAGACAGTAAATGTGTTATTCAAGTCACCTAGGCTGTGGTACTTTATTATGGTAGCCCCAGCACACTAATACAATTCCCAAATTCAGGGCCATATTGGAATCATCTGGCAAGTTTTAAAAATCCTGATACCTGATTCCTGTTCCCAGAGGTTGCAATTTAAGTCATCTGGAGATCAGCCCATCAATCTGGATTTTTAAAAACTCTCCAGGTGATTTTTAAAGTCCAACAAAGTTTGAGAACCACCGATAATCTATGTCATTCTTTTGACTGGTGAGAAATCTAAGGCAGAACGTCTTGCAATTGTTAGGTTTCAGTCTCTTGACACCTGCTTAACTGATCTCCCATCTTTATGTCCTCAAACCCTGGTCATTCTGTAAACATGTCATGACTCCTACTGGGAAAGAGAGTCAATAATCAAAGCTGGCAGTAATATATGCTCTCTTCATGTACTGCATCAACTTTAAATTTTTTTGTGTGCTAGGACTCGTCTTGAACATCTCCTGTAATATATCTCCCACAGCACAGTTCCCCAAAGACAATGTGACATGTGACCACCTACATTGTCAGTACCCACTCTCTCTCCTTATGCTCTTCTTGTCCCTCCTGTTAAGTTGCCCTCCAGTTCCTAGGATCCAAATTAATGACTCAAAGGTTGTGTAAACCAGCATTTCAATGCAGAGGTGGCAAACCACTAGTTTTTTCTTGCTAAACCCTTTCCATTTGTCCCTGTTAAGTTGTGACCCTCCCAAACTCAATAGTCTACTCACGGACCAACTATTTACTCAGTGTTTACTCTGTTCCAGGGACTGATCTGACCCATACTTCATGCAATGCAAACCATATAAGCTGTATATATATATTTATCTTTTCTACCTGCAGTCTCTAAAAGTTAATGCGCTCTACAAAAGTGATTATTTAGCACCCTTATCATACACCTTCGGTGGGGGGAAACCTGTTCTGAAGGTGCTTTCGCTGCACTAATTTTTTACTTAGACCAATCATTAATATGGTTACTGGTTAACAGAGAATCATTTTCATGACAGTCTAACAGACTTGCTGGTTAGCTCCCTAAAGCCATCTCCAGCCTCCCTCTCCCTGGCCTTCCTTCCTCTATAGAAGCTGAGAAGCTTAATACTCATTTTCCCAGCCTCCCTTGTCACTAAAGACTGCTACATGGCCCAGCTTGGCCAATGAGACACAGGTGAACCTGCTGGGGAACTTTGGGCAAAGATATTTCTTCTCTGATAAGAGCAAGTTGCACGAGAGAAATTATTCTACCCCTTTCCACTCCAGTTTACTGCCTTTGAACATGGGATAAAGATGTAATGTCTGGAGCTGTTAGAGCCATCTTGAAACCATGAGGATAAGGCACTGACCCAGAATCCTGACATTGTTAGCAACTCCAGTGATCACCTGCTGTCAGGCTGCTGTCTGTTGAAGCCATTTTTAGTTGGCTTTTCATTACATGCAGCAAAAAAAACCCACAATATATGAATGTTTTCCATATATCCCAAACTCTTATTTACTTAGAACACAATATAGTCTGAGGATCCACACTTTGAGAATTACTGAATTAAAAGGAATATCTTCCAGGAATGAAGAAAAAACATGCTGAGGTGTGTGCAAGGAATAATAAACCCAATCTGAACTGCCGAATTTATTTATTCATGCCTTCATTTCTTCACCAGACCCCCACCTTAGTAGGCTCTTTACAGGGATCCCATCTTTACAGGGATGTAAAGATAAGTAAGACCTTACTCCTGCCTTCCAAGACATTTTACTGTCTTGAGCAAGACTTCTGTATAAACCAAGAGTCACAAGATGGCAAATGCTGAGATAGAGATATGCAGAAGAAAAGGGTCATGTTATCAGGAAGGTCAGAAAGCTAACTCAGTTTGGGGACTCCCTGGAAAGAGGTCTGAATAAGAGAATCACTGAAGCTTTCACTCAACTCTGAAAGTTATCCCTGTGATCTGACTAAACATGTAAGCTTTTATTTTTCTTCCGGGGGAGGGGGCGGTTTTTTCTATAATCACTGACTATAAAACCAAATGACAATTCAGGAGGGAGCAATTTGATAGGCGACTCAATCAACTGTCAGAGAAGCTTCTCCAGCCAGCTTTCTCCATCCCACAAAGCAGGATAGAAACATGGTTTTGTTGGGGGGTGGGGCGGGGAGAGGGAGTACTTTCCTCCCAGATCAGCAGGATGTTTGTCTAGAACAGAAGAATTCTGTGCTGTGAATTGCGACCACCTGTTAACATTACATCAACCCAAACAACATTGAAAAAGCAATCAGTCGTCAGCAGGAGCTGTGCACAAATGCACATTCCAGGAGGCTCTCTACTATTAAGCAAAAAAAAAAAAAAAACCCAACAGCCATAATTAGCACCTATTTATTTAATAGTCACAGAAACACCTGTGCTTAATGGCAGAGAAAGGGGGAAGGAACCCCCGTGCATTGGTTTCTTTCTAAAGTCAGTTAGTGGAAGCCTATCCCCCCAACACACACACGTACGGGAGAAAGGAAAACTAACACGAGCTTTGCCCTGTTAAATCCTTATAAGAAACAGAAATAGGTGCTCATTGATTTTCTTGCAAGGGAAATAATAGGTTGTGAAGCATCTCTGAAAATAAGATCAGCAGTAGTCTCCTAAAATTTTCCTAGAATACATTAAAAATAAAATATCCAACAGAGTCCTTCAATGAATTGTTTCAGCATCACGGTGGCATTCACACTAATGTGCCTCCGGAACATTTTGATTCAGGCAACGGTAACGAGATCAATATGCAGCGATTGCAGTTACGTACGGCTCTGGCATGTCCTGGGCTGGAGAGGCTGCTCCAAGATCCCAACTCAGGCTACCGTAAAACATCTGCCACCTCGCCGAGAATGAGGAAACCGCCCTGGCAAAGGATTTCAGCTCAGCCCTCTAGCTCTCCTCCACTCGCCACCAAACCTCTAAGAATCACCCAGGGAGAAAGTGGGGGAGGAGGGAAACACTGGAAACAAACATTCCTAGCCCCATAAACGCCGCATCCGGACATTTGAAGGAACCCGGGAAATCAAGCATATGGCCCCAGAGTTTGGCTTGGCTCATGTCTGAGCATAATTGGATATTTTCTGCTGCGTTTTAAAAATCTAACTTTCCGTCTCCAATGCAGAGACCCAGAGGGAGGAAGCAAAGGCAGACAGAGACGCAGACCGGGACACCCCCACCACCACCACCACCACCTACCTGCAACCCCGGCCCAGTCACCCAAGCACGAGGCATCAGAACAGGAGAAACTTACCTGGCCCTCGCCTAGACGGAAAGGCTGCCGGTCTGGCCTCAGCGGGGGTAGTATTCAGGGGTGAGTCGCTGAAGCCGGAGATGAAATGTAGACCCCAGCCGGGAGGCCAAGTGCGGCTCCCTGCCCCGGGGAGCCGAGTGACTCACGCGCTCGGCGCCTCCGCTCGCGCCGCGCGCCCCTCTGCTCCCGCCCCGCGCAGGTGCCGGACCGCGCGCGAGGAGGCGGTCTCCAGCCGCCCGCCTGCTCGGGGCTCGCTCGGGGCTCTGCCCGGCGCCCCCAGGCGGCCGCGCCGGGGCCCACCAGGCGGAGTGTCGCCAGGCACAGCCAGCCCCTGCGGACCACACGACCGCCCGCCGCCGCAGGACCAGTGCCGTCGTGGGTCGGCCCTGTCCTCCGCCCCGCGCCCCCTCGGTACCCGCCCCCTAGGCTGCCCATCTGAGCTCAACACACCTGCCACCCGGACAGGGCATTGCCAGGGCCCTCCCTCAGGTTGTGCCAACCGGCTCCAGGAGGCACAACCAACCCCAGGTCTCAGACCAGCGCGGCATAGCCCGCCATCCTCGGTCTCCCCCTTGTGGTGGCGCCAGAACCTACCCAGCTGAGAGACGTGCAACTGGCTCCGCAAGATCCCAGGTGTATCCTTTCCCATAGGTCTCCCCTCTGCCCGGACTCTTACCTTGCAGGGCCTTGTCGCCCCCAGCACTGCCTGTCTAATGCACTTTCTACCTGCTAGCTGGTTGTGGCAATGCGCAGACCCTCCTACAGTTGGTATCTATGCCCGGGGTCCCCGTATTGCCCACCAGAGCCAATGGACAAATTATTCCCACCTGCTTGGAGTCCTCTTCATGGAGGTGGCTATAAGCCTCTCCCCTCTCGGATCCTCCAGGGTCCTGGAAGAGTGCCGTGTGGATGACGGAACCCTGGTGCCAGGGGGTTCCCTCCTATTCTGACTGGGAATGGGAAGAGTAGCCGAGGCCCTACCCAAACTTTCTGGGACAGTCAAGGTGCCAGAGGGTGCCAGGACTAGTAGAAGGAGTAATGTCTCCAGCAAATATGGTTTGGGAATCTGCCTTGGGACCTGTCATTTTTCTGGTAGAGGTTATCTTGTTCTGCTGGGAGCAGAGGAGTCAGATCAGGGTCCTGCCTCCCTCATACAAAAATTGGGAGGAAGAGCATGTAGAATAAAAATACCATTGGTCTTGGCAAGAGTGAAGGGATAGTAGAGTTGAAAACAAACAAGAATGAGGAATGTGGAGCATTTCCACATTTTGAGGACAGCATTTCAGCTGCCACATTTCCTGCAACCCTGGTCAAGAACAGAAGGCTACTGCCTAATCAGAAAAAAAGAGCCATCTCCCTCCAGCACACGCCCCTTCTCATCGTACCTTTCTTACCACCATTCTAAACTTAGATCTCCCCTATGATGGGCAGGGACTGCGGCATTCCTTTCAATGTCCCAATAACACTGCACACAGCCTGACACACAGTGGAAAACAAATCTTTGTTGAAATCTCCAAGGTCCAACATCCAGGACCTTCCTCCCAGCCTTCCACCTCTCCCTCTATACTTTCCATCTTTTCCCATCTATTTTCCTTTCCATTTCTTCCTTCTCTGTACCTGCTTTCCTGAATAACATCATCCCTCACTTTCTTTACCTCTGCTCTCCAAGTCTCTAAGGTGGTGTTTCTTACCCAACTTTATTTCTTCTCCTTTTCTAAAGCCTCTCATACTCTGAATTCTCTCTTGCCGTCTTATTTCAAGGTTAATCTCAATGAAGTGCTTCTGCTGCTTTTCTGTTTAAAGCTGTTAGGTACTTGAATCAAAAGTTTTACCTGTCAGAAATCCTACATTCCCCGAGAATGTGTGTGTGTGTCCAAGACAAGGTATCTTTTCATGCAAGGTGATTAACCAAAAAGTATTACGAGAATCATATCTTCATCTGTTCATTCAACTCACATTTACTGTGCACCTACGATGTACTAGGCATTGTGTCACGTCCTGAGTTTACAGAGATGAATGACAGCCATTACCATCAAGAACGCCATATACCAAGGAATGGGGGAGGAAGAGGAGCAGACAATAAACAAAGTCATGCAACAATGCTGTACTAGGGCTGTGTCCACTGTGCTTGTGGGAACAAGAAGGGAGCTCCCAGACCTCCATGAAGGAGGGGTGGGGGTGGGGGCATCATGAAACATTTCACCAGAGAATAACAATTGAATCAAAAAGAAAAAGTAAAAAAGACTAAGCGTTTTCCAGGAAAACATAAAATAATGGGAGAAATACAGAGAAAATGAATCATTTACTTTGGATTCTGAATTTGTGTCTCTTTTTTGTTGTGATGGCCTCATTCTTTAGGCAGATAGTGTCTAAGAGAGATCTCCTTCCTGATAGCTCCCGAAAAGTTGCAGGCATGGGCTCTGCTTGAATCATGTGTCCATCTCTGAAACCAGTGACCATGGTGAGGTAGGTAGTGTCTTCTGATCAGCTCTCTTGTTTCATGTGCCCATCCCTGTTTGTTTGGGTGTGTGTTTCTTTTGGGGTTTGGAGGTGTGGGTGATACATTGATACCCTTACCTGATGTGGAAGGTATAGCTCCTAAGGGAAAAGATGCTAGGAAAGGTATGGACCAAGGTAACATGTCAACTACAGCTATACAAGCATTTCCATGAAAAAGCTCTCTTCCTGCAAAATAACACACTAAAATTAACAAGGCATATAGGAAAAAAAAGGATCACTCAAAGTGATCAACATATCACTCAAAATTATGCAACTTTATTAGCAGAGTATTAACAACATAAAAAGCAAATAGGCAGTAACTTGGACAGCTCAGACACATAGCTTGGCATGGCTAGAGGCTGCCTCAGGGGATACTAAAAATGCAGGAAACCAATAGAGAGGAAATTCTGGCTTGACAGAGCAGAGACATTGCAAATGTAAGTAGAGCTCTGAGGCAGCAAGGTTACCACAAAGGTGGACACAGGAGGAAGGGCAGTCTGCTTGGAGCAAGAGCTGTGCAAGGCTGGGGGTGCCCCTTCTTGGGGAGGAAGCCCTGGTGCAAACCCTCACTTTTACTCTTTTTTAAATAAAACTAAAAAGGCTCCCAAATCTGCAGCAGCCAAGTTTGAGTCCTTTTTCCTTTCATGCTGAAAGTTGTAACTATAGTCCAGTGCAACTTGCACATTATATTGATGTTGTTTCCCTATTTGCAATTGCATGTAAGCTAATCATCATAGAAGATATGTTCTAACAGAGGAGAGAGTATATACTTATTTTTTTACCTATCATGCATTTATCAAACACCTGTGATCTAACCCAATCCCCTGTTTTTAAATTACAGTGATTTGCTAATGACTCCCAGACTGATATCTCCGGCCGAACATTTCTTCTGAATTCCAGACACTTATCCAGCAATCAGCTCAACATCCTCACTTGGATGACTAAAGGGAATCTGAAGTTTACCTTGTACAAAATCCAACTCCTAGTATTTCCCCAGGTCTTCTCCTTCCGAGGTCTTCCTCCTCTTATTTAATAGCAAATCCATCCATATGGATGCTCAAGCGACAAATCATTAGGACATTTTCTTCTTCTCCCCTTCTCACACTCCACATCCAATCCCTTAGTAAATCCTGTCTATTCTCCCTTCAAAACATACCTAGAATCTGACCACTTCTTACAAACTGTGCTGCTACTATGCCTGTCCAGCCACCATCATCTTGGATGTGTTACCACAGGCAGCCCAACTGGTCTCCTTGCTTCCACCCTTTGCTTATTTTGTCTATTCCCCACAGTAGCTGGAATTTCCCTTAAATATGTGATTCCAAGCATGTTATTTTTCTGCTCCAGTCCCCACTCCACCCACTGTCTGTTTCCCTTAAAGTAAGACCCTGATTCTTAGAATGGTCACTAAGTCCCCAAATGATCTATAACCCCTGCCATCTTTCTAAAGTCCTCCTCTTCCACCTTCTCCCTAGGTTTCTCATTCTCTTCACCTTGGCCCCCTTACTACCCCCGCCGCACAGCAGGCGGGTGTGCCAACTCTCACCTCTGTCTGGACCGCTCTTCTTCCGGCTAGCCTCAGCGCTCACATTCTCAACAATTTCAGGTTTCTCTTCAAGTCATCTATCCCTGACGTCTTACTTGATATTTGACTCTCCCACCTAGCCCTCAGTGCTCGCAACCCACCATTCCTGCTTTTTTTCCCCTCCATAGTTAGCCATATCACCTCTCTGGCCTCTGATTCCTCATCTGCAAAAATTGAGATAATCAAAGTAATTATTCATCAAAGGTATGGTGAAGTTTAAGTAAGATCATCTGTTATAGACATTTAGCACAGTGCTTGACACATTATAGAGACTGAATGAGCACCTGTTATTATCTTGTCCTATAAGTACAGACGGATAGAGGAAGGATATACAATAAATTGGAGAAATTATTCCTGTCTCTAAGAAATTAATAATCCATTTCAAGAGAAGGCATATATTAAACAAGAGAGAAATCACAAGATGACTATATTAGTTATTATAATATATATTAAATATTCTTTTATTTGTAAGCAACAGAAATTAACTTTGCCTTATTGAAGAAAAATAAATGAGTGCTAGAGCAAATTCATTGTAATGATTCAGGGGTGTTCCACAGGCTCAAACCCAAGTTCAGCTCCTAAACTGAACCTGGACAAGAAGTAGGCCTGCTCCAGAAATTCAACAAGGAGTGCTGGGTATGGATCCTGCGTGTCTTGGATTCAGCCAGGAAGGTCACTTCAGCTCCAACACTTTCCAATCTCTGGATCTCTGTGCCCCAAGTTTCAAACTTCCATGAGGAAGAAGCTGATAGGCGCAGCTCGTGTCAGATTTCTGCCTCTGGATTGATTCATTAGCATGGTCCCATACCAGACATGGAAAGCCATGGGGCACCACCTCCTATATATTCAAAGTCTCTTCCCAGATGTAAGTAGGGAAGTCCTAGAGTATTCGGCCTCTTGTTCCCACTCTGCCCTCGTCTCCTACAGCGCTCCAGACATGTGACCTTGCTTTTGTTCAAAAAAGTCAGACATGCTGTGCCTCCAGAACTTCCTACTTGCTATTCCCTCCTCTTAAATAACCACATGAATCAATTCCTTATCTCCTTCAAATGTTTACTCAAATGTTATCTGCTCAGCAAAGCCTTCACTGATAAGGCTATTTAAAAGGGCAACACGTCCCCCCTGACCTCCCCTCCATATAAATATACACTTCTGTTCCCCTCTTCTCTGCTCTGTTTTTCTCTAAGGTATTTATAACCTTCAGTACCAGCTAGTTAGT